TCACTTGATTTCAAGCACTGTTTATTGAGGTATCAGCCCACACCTAGACCCCTGGATAGCAGATCTGGCCCATATCCTAAAGCTTATCTTTCTGGCTATGCTTGTTCCAGTTTTCAGTGTGACTATGTTGATAACTGTCTGGGGGTGGAAGGATCCCATATTTGATCATGTTCTGTTGTTTTATGTCAATACCGATCTCCATTGTTTATAAGCAAAATCATTCTGATGATAGACAATGTCTTCTCTCACTGGGACACTACATTGGTTAACTACTATAGAGCAAACCATTCCAAACTCTAGTGTCTTAAATCAACAAGTACAATTCTGGGGTCTGGCAACCTCAACTGGGCTCAAATGGATTAACAAATCATGGCCAAGGCTAGAGTCAGTATAGGAAGAGACTGTCTAAAGCCGTGGATAAGGGAGACTGGAATAAATTGGGGGTCATTACTCCTACAATCTGCCAAAGATACTTCTGGCACCATAGCCATTCATTATCAATACCTAAAACTGAGCTGACTTGTGGTGCCTCTGATATCAACCAAATTCACTGCTCTTTTGTATTTTTTTAAAACAAACCTGTTCAGCAGTCTTGTAAAGAAATGATCTGAATAGGAAAGGCTAATTAAAATCGAGATCTATTACATTTTTAAAGATATGATGAAATGCAAGCAGTTTTCTCCCAGAAGAGTGTGCAGTGTGATTACTGAAGAGAATTTTTGATTAGAATCTAAACACAAGGATTCTACCAGATATGGATCATCATTAGACTGAATTTGTTACAAAAATACAATGGCTTTTCCTTTAGTTTTGCTGCTTTTTATTTAGCAGAATCTGTTTCTTGTTTTTTTAAAAAAAAAAACATGATTCTGTCCTGTTTACAGTTTAACTTGTTGCAGACATCAAATTATTATCCAAGACTGGACATATTAACTCTGTCTGTTGGAAGAGAAGGAGCCTGTTGTGCTGGGTAATTATGACTGTGGGAGGCAATCATGAGAAGTCAGAACAGGCCCAGGCCTGCTTTCTGTTTTTAGGCGTTGACAGTCCATGGCACAAGAGTATTTTAGAGGTAATTTCTCTCAGGGACTGACAAGGATCATCAAGTGACCCCCAAATGGGATCGCCAATCGTGATTCCATTGATCACCTAAAACCATCATCTAGTGCTGACTTTATACTGTCAAAGCCACAAGAAAATATTTTCACCAAGAATCATATTCCAAGTCCTATCTTTCATAGCAAATATTTCCTATTTCTTTCCACTGGACTCTATAAATAATTTAGACCTCAGTGAGATCGTACTTCATGAACTTTTCATTGATAGGATGATGATGATGAGAAGGATGACAGAGAGTAACTGCTCTTGCCAACTTCTTGACAAGAGTAATATAATTTAATTTTTACAAAAGTTTCTTATCTCTATTTGGTATAAGAAAAACCAGAGGCATCAAGAGATTAACCAACTTGCTCAAGGACTTAAGTTTTATGAACGCTGGCACCAGGATTTGAACCTACATCTACTCTAAATCTAAATCTGTGCTCTTAACTACTCAGCTACACATCCCCTGTTGAGAGCTTTCTGGATAGGTCTGAACACCCCGCCTCTTCTTCCACTATCCTTTTGTTGGACACTTGCTGTTTATAGTGTGTGCAGAACTATGCTGAGAGTGTGGTCTAAAAAATGTCTTTGCACAATAGAATGTGGGATAAACAATGTTATAAATAGCTCCCTTTAATTGGCAGTCTTGGGGAAGAGGAAAAGCATAAATTACAGAAACCTTGTCAATAGACAAACCTGCTTTTAGTTAGAGATTTAACACCCTCCACCCTCTTCAACAAATCCCTGTAAGAGTTGATTACAAGAAGCAAAACGGAACCATTTGACTTCTAGAATATCTTCTCTACTGAATCTACTTCAATGTCTTATTGTTTAAGAAAATTGTGTAAAGGTAAGAAACTCATGGACCAGGGATTTAGCTCAGTGGTTCCCCCACCTGCTTCGCAAGTGCAAGGATCAGAGTTCGATCCCTATACAAACAAAACAAAACAAAAAAAACAACGCCCCCCCCAAAAAAAAAACAAAAAAGAAACTCACTGGAGAGCATACTGGATATCTCATAGCTATAACTTTCAGATATCAAATCATTGAGAAATGACTTTTCAGATGTCCACATAGTTTGATCTCTGCGTTGTGCTGGTTGAAAACTCTGACTTAGGAAACAGGTTGCTTGGGATCAGCTACAGATCTATCATTTTACTAGCTGAGCGACTATGGAAAAGTTATGTAACCTCCCTATGCCTTGATTTCATCAACCAGAAAAATGAAACAATATCCTCTGCAATTGAATTATTGTAGAAGTTGAGACAATATGCATGAAATGCACAGTGACCAGTACATAGGAAGTACTATCTAAATGTTAGCTGTTCTATTGTGCTTAGCAGCTGAAATTAGGAAAAGTTTTTCTTTCAATTTAAAAATTTTAATAGAAAAAATTGTTCCTTTTTATTTCAAAAGTAATGCATAGTCTTTGTAAAAGTTTAGAAAATGGAGTGATAAAAGTTACTTTTGAACTTTTAAATATTCAATTTCTACTCTTCTGGTGTCTTAGTCTTTTTGGACCATAACAAGATACTTTAGACTGGGTAATTTACAACCAACAGATTATTGTTCATGGTTTTGGATGTTGAGAAGTCCAAGCTCAAGGTGCCAGCAGATTCATTCTCTGGTATTTCTTATAGATGGCTCCTTCCAGATCCTCATATGGTGGAACAGCAAAAGGGCTACCTCAAGCCCTGTTAATAAGTGTACTGGTCCCATGCATAAAGGTGGAGCTTTTGTGGCCTAGTTACTTCCCAAGGGTCCACCTCTTATTCAACACTCTCACATTAAGAATTAGATTTTCTGCATGTCTTTTGGAGGGACACATTCAGACCATCGCACCTGTGATAATATATCAAATCATGCAGAATTTAGTGGCTTGAAACAAAGATCAGTTGTTACCTCAAAGTTATGTGGTTTAGTCTGGACTGGGCTTAGTGTATCTCTGCAATCTTCTGGAGGTTTGATAGGGGCTGGGTGGTCAAGGATGGCTCCACCCCTAGCTGACAGTGGGCAGGCTGCTGCCCCAGGTGCCTCTGTATGACACCTCCATAAGGTTTTCTGAGGCCTGGTCACATGGTGGCCTTGTGCTTACAGTGTGACAACAGAGGCAAAACATCAACCTACAAGATTTTTCAGGCCTTGGCTAGTCCCACATCTATTACAGCAGAACATCTCTAATTAGAAAATTTGAAATCTGAAATACTTCAAAGTCCAAAACTTTGTGAGCCCTGATAGAGTGATTTAAAATTTCAGATTTGAAATATTTCACATTTGGGGTTTTAAAAGAAGGCATGCTTAAGCAATAAAATGTATGCAAATATTCAAAAATCTGAAAAACTCCAGAATCTGAAAGACTTCTGATCTCAAATATTTCAAATAAGGGAGACTTAAGCTATGATGTCTCTTTAGCTGAACAAGATACATGGCAAAGCACAGATTCTAAGAATCAAGAAATAGATTTCACCTTCTGATGGGAAGAGTGCCAAAGTCACATTCCAAAGGCACAGACATACAGGGATAGGAATAATTTGAGGCCAGTATTGCAATTCACCACAGATGAATACTGTTAAAATTATATACATTTATGTACATAGTACACATATTTTTGTACATGTATGTATATAGCATATTTGTGTATATACATGTATATATTGCACATATAAACATGAAAAACTATACCCTCAAAAGAAATCACATTAAACATGTTTTGTAGCTTTTTTCTATTAGTTATATTCTAGGGCAATTGAATGTCCTTGGTTTAAGGTGTGCACAACATTCCATTGTAGGAATTTACCATGACAAGTTTAGCCAGTGTCCCTTGTAAGACTTTTAGGCTGCTGTCAACTTTGCAATAAACTTCTTTATAATACATTTCCCTCATTTTTCCTTGTCATACATATTACAACCTCTGACTTATTGTCACAATACTGTATAGAAAGATTGTATCCAGAGTTGGTATTAAAAATGCAGAGATAAGGGGAAAAAATGAGAATCAAGACTTGTCATGTAGAGGTACAAGATCCCAACAATGAATGTAACGGTACTGTATCCCTAAAATGTACCAATAAACTCAATTAAAGCTGAAAAAAAATGCTGAACAACAGAATGGATATTGACCATAGCACCAAGCAAAGTCCTAGAGGTAATTCTTTAGCTGCTGGTTTGTGAAGTGGTTGAGGTCCTAGGGAAGTGGGCTGGGCAGCTAGAGTAGTAGGTAGTAGTAGGTTAGCAGTAATTTACCTTTACAAACATACTGACTAGCAGTGTGTGAAAATATGTTTCTCATTGCCCTCTCCAACCATAGATATTGTCCAGCTTTTTTGTCTGCACCAATCTGATCCATGATAATGATGAAAATAAAGCATCATTTTTTAATTTTGTATTCTCCTAATCACAAGTTAAGGGCACAATCCATTTATATTGGATTGTTATTGTTGCTTTTCATGACTTGGCCAGTTTATCTTCTGCTCATTTTTCTCTGAGATATTAATCTTTTCATTAAAAAGCCAATATTTACTGGCATCTTATGCTTAAACCTTTATTAAGCATTACCTATCTTAATATTCACTATGATCCTATAAAGTTATTATTATTCCCATTTTAGAGATGAATAAATGGAGGCAGAGGGTTAATACTGTACCCACCTGAGTCTTGTTTGTAAGTATTGGAACCAAAATCCTGAGACAGTGGGATTCTCTAATGCAGGTTCTTCCTCATTCTATTCTGCTGCTTCTGTAGTATTTACTTGTTAGAGCTTTCTACAGAATGGATGGTCACCCTTGGAAATTTTTAGTGGTAAATGCTCATATCAGGAAAACAGAGCAAGCTCAAAAAACCTAATGTTGAACCTCAGACATCTAAAAAAGAAAAACAAGTCAAGCCCAAAGCTCATATGAGCGGTTGCTTCAGCAGTGCATATACTAAAATTAGAACGATACAGAGAAGACTAGCACGACCCCTGCCCAAGGGTGACACGCAAATTCATGAAGCAGTCCATATTTTTTGGATACAAAATCAGCACTCAAAAATTAATGGCATTGCTGCACAAATAAACTCATGGAGAGAGAAATTAGAGAAACTAAGCCTTTCACAATAGCATTGAAAGAAATTAAGTACTTGGGAATCAATCTAACAAAGGAAGTAAAGGACCTATACATTGAAAATTACAGCACTCTGAAAAAGGAGACTGAAGAGGGTATTACAATATGGAAAGGTATCCCTTGTTCTTGAGGAAGAACCAACATAGTGAAAATGGCCAAACTCCCAAAGTTATTATACAGATTCAATGCAATCCCCATCAAAATCCCAACAGCACATCTCACAGATTTAGCAAAAAACAATCCTAAAATTCATTTGGAGCCAGACTAAACCTAGAATAGCAAAAACTATTCTGGGGAAAAAAGGCAAGACAGGGGATATCACAATCCCTGACTTGAAATTATACTACAAAGCTACTGTGATAAAAACAGCATGGTACTGGCAAAAAAACCAAAAACCAAAAAACAAAAACTAACAAAACCCCCAAACAGATCCGAGGAGCAATGGGACAGACTAGAAGACACAGGAAAAACCCCAAACACGCTCAGTCACTTTATCTTTGACAAAGGGACTGAACACATTCACTGGAGGAAGGATAGCCTCTTTAATAAGTGGTGCTGGAAAAACTGGCTTTCCATATTCCAAAGACCCATGTCTCTCACCATGCACTAAACTGGAATCAAAATGTATCAAAGATCTAAACATTAAAACAGAAACACTCAATCTGCTGGAAAAGAGAATAGGCAGAAGTCTTGAGTACATAGGGGCAGGCAAAGACTTCATAAACAAAACCCAGACTGTGTAGGAAATAATACAAAGAATCAACAACTGGGATCTCCTCCTATGAAACAGTTTTGGCGTCACAAAAGAAATCACCAATGGAATGAAGAGACAACCCACAGAGTGGGAAAAAACTTTAGCCTGTAGTCCCTCAGATAAAGGACTAATATCTAGAACATACAAAGATTTGAAAAAATCAGACCTCTCAAATTTAAGACCCAATCCAAAAGTGGGCATCTAAAATGAATGTACACTTTTCACTTGAAGTTCAAATGACAAATATGTGAAAAACTTTTTGATTGTTTTTATTAGTCATTCTACTTTTAATTTTCCTTGTGGGGCTGCTTGCTTACAGGATTTTAAAAAATTTCATGGACATACTTCTACATATGAATTTTAAAATTTCAAGCAGTTTACAAACCCATATAATAGGGTCAAATATCTGAAGCTTTTTTTTGAGTGGAGTCTGTCTTCAATATCATTTTAAGATGTTCTCCATTTAAAAAATGCTAAAATATTCACCTAAATTTTATTCAAAAGTGGTGAATGTCAGGGCTGGGGATTTAGCTCAGTGGTTCTGCCACCTATCATCTCACAAGCGCAAGGTCCCAAGTTCGATCCGCAGTACCCCCCCCAAAACTGTCAGAACTATCTGAATTAATGAAATACATGTAGTTAAGCTTCAGATATATTGAATCAGATCTCTATGGTGAGGAATAAATGTGTATGTTTTTAAAAAGATACCAAACCTCCCAGTCCAAGAGGACTAGTAAATATACACATTCACCTCTTTTTACTCTCCAATGCACATGAAATTGGCTGAAGAATAGTACCTTAAGAATATATCTACAAGCTGGGCATGGTGGCGCATACCTGTAATCCCAGCACTCAGGAGGCTAAGACAGGAGGATCGCTGTGAGTTATGAGTTGGAGACCAGCCTGGGCTACATAGTGAATTCCAGGTCAGTCTCATCTACATGGTGAGACCCTGTCTCAACCCCCTCCCCCCAGTATATATCTACCAAACTAATTCCGGATGGGTTAAAAACTTAGTCGTGAAATCTCAAATTTATATAGGAGAATATTTGTATCTGTCAAGATTCTTTAAGGAAACCAATAGGAGATATGTATATGTATGTGGGGGAGGATGGGGAGAGAGAGAGGGAGGAAGGGAGGGAGGGATTCTAAGGAATTGGCTCACAAGGTTGTGGGTGCTGGTGAGTCGGAAACCCTCAGGGCAGGCTGGAGCTTCTGGCAAAGGTTGATCTTGCAGTCATGAATGTGTACTTACCCTGGAAGCAGAACCGCTTCCTCTTCAAAGGTCCTCAATTTTTTTTTTCCCTGTGGCCTTCAACTCTTTGGATTAGGCCCACCCCTATTATCAAAAGTAATCTGCTCTATCAAAGTCTACTGATGTAAATGTTAATCAAATCTCCCAAATATTTTCACAGCAGTGTCTAGACTGGATCACACAACTGGATACAATGGCCCGGAGAAGTTTATACATAAGATTAACATACACACTACTATCTTTTTGATTCTGCTGGAGGATTTGTTAAACGAGACAAATGCCTGCTAAAGACTTGGTACATAATTTGAACAGGGGAAAAAAAACCCGCTGTGTTCTATAACCCAGTACAGTTTTTCCTCTTCATTTGCGATGCCTTTAGGAAGACCAGACTTCATATACTGTATGGGATCATCACAACTTGTTTCCTTGCCAGGGATGTGTATTCTTTCTTTCATGTCTCTGATTTCTGATAAACACCAAAAAACATAGTATAAGAACATAAAAAAGACAAATGTGCTTTAATTTATGTCTCCACAAACCTAGATATTAGCTGTGGTACCACAATATCCCAAGCCAAAATACTGAACAATAATGGATTTATTGTTGCCTTAATTTAAAACAAGCCTTATTTATTTTTTAAAAAATGCAACCTCAAAACACATCTTGCCAGATATGAGATGGAATGCATTATATGCCTAACCAAAAAACAAAAAAACTACTCAGTACAGTGGACTTGAACATTATTTGCTATTAATAGATCTCCGGAATGACTGCGATCTGTTGGATTTGATACATTTAGGTTTTGGCAGCTGCTGAGGACTGAAAATAAGCCTTTCCATACGTTATTAATTACTAAAGAAACTAGGTCATGAAATAGCCCTTTGGTGATTTAAAAAAATATTTTGAAGAGCTGCCCAATTCCATCTTTAAACCGTCCCTGACATTGAATATACTTGGCAAGGCAGCAGCGTGCTTAGTAGTCTCCTTATCTGAAACAGGTTAAATTGAGAGCAACGTAGGTACACTATTTCTTTCATCTCTCTATCTGACACAAATGCCAGATGTACCAAATGTGGTCCACCCACAACAAGTATTTGCTGAATTTAAAAGCATCCCTCTCTTTTCCTTTTTGAGTTTTGAAGGCCTGATACCGAGTCACTGATTCAAATGTTTGGAATGGCCACTGTTATGAACTCATGCATTAGACAGATACAAATATTTTCAATAATTTTAAGTAAGGTTAATCTGTTCTGCTGAGGCTCAAAATATTTTTTAAATGTTTAATTGCACAGCATTCTCACTCATTATTTCCTTAAAAAACAAATTTAGAAAATATATCACAAAGACCCTCCTAGTGAACTTTAGATTTTTGTTTTTTATTTGAAGAAACCCTGATTTTAAGTTGGATTCCCCAGCGATGAACTCTGAGAGAAGGATTTAAAAAGGGGAAAAAACTAAGACAATGAATCCATTCAGAAGGGTGGATGAGATATCAAGCAAAGTCCTGAAGAGGATAATTTGAGCTTCATCCTTCTCTGGAAATGGCGTAAGTCATCATCAGAGGACAAGAAAGAAGATCTAGATTCACTGCATCCTAGATTCTCTTCTCACTGGCCTTAAACAGGAGCCTGAAGTCTGTCGTCCAACAAAGCGAGGCACATGCCAGCTATATGGGAGGGCTCCAGGCAGATATGTGCAAACACTGGACAACATCTATCTCGCCATTCTGAAAGGAAGACTTTGCCAAGTTCTTCTCCACTGATGAAGAAAGAGTAAGCCCAGATATGAGAGGGAACTATGTACTATGTAGGTAATGTAAGAAGTGAGCAGGGAGCCATATTTCCTTCAATATCCCTGCCCTAGGTTGAGTCAATAGAAAAGAGATTCCAGAGGAGTTTGGTACCTAGTGGGAGGGTGCCCTCCCCAAAGCTGGGTGCGATGAACAGTGAGCAGGTCTAGAGAGCAAGAGTAGAAAATCAATCCTGAAGGGGGCACTTGGATCAAAGATAAAAAACTGCTTAAGTCAGAGCTTCACTGGGAAGGAAAGGGAGGGGATAAGAGAAAAAAAAAACTAGAACTGGGATAGACATGACTAGAATGCAATTTTTAAAGTCATATTGTACTACATATATATTGCAATATATGAATTATTTACATAGCTATTCTACTTATTGAATTCACTACCCACATTTCAAGTACCCAACAGCCACATGTAATGGTACTGTAATAGATATGCACTTCTACAACTGCACAAAACTCTTTGGGGGCAGTGCTGGCCGAAGAGCTTGCTAAATAGATCAGGGTTGGGATGTAATGGGTCTCACTTTCTTATCAAACTTCTGTTTCCTTCCTCTCCTTATTCAGCTGATAACAAGTCAAATTTTACCATTGGGATTTCCCTGAAAAATTTGGAGCAGTGAGTTAAAGGACAGTAGTACATTTTAAAAACTTTCTATCGGGAGCTACTTTTCTGAAATGACTTTTGACTCTTTGCATCTAATCTGAGTTTTTAGGAGTGAAATGTCAACTCAGAATCAATAGACATTGAGTGCCATATGAGTTATTAAAATGACCAGAGTCATTGTTGCTTTCTTCTTTCATTGCTGTTTCCTATTACCTAATTGTGTCCATTTTAATCTTTTTAAGGAAAAGGAACACAGTATAAACTTAAGAATGAGGAGGCAAGAAGCTATGCATGAATAGAAAAAGTGGCAGAATCCAACTTTTTCCCTCTTTCCACCACTACCATTTCTGCATAGCTGGGCGTAGGACTTAACTGCTGGAATAAATTCTTACCAGACCAAGTAACTAAGTAGAATATGGGCATGGTATTTCCAACATCTTGGGATTTGTGGCTGCTTTCATTGACAGCAGGAACATTTTTTTTGTTATTT